GGCGGTGACGGAGCCACGGCGGGTGCGTGCGTGTGCGCGTGAGTGCGTGTGTCTGCACGTAACAGGCTGAGTGTGGATGAGACTGTGCTTAGGAGGGACCGTGAGAGCTCATGGGTGTGGGAGTTACTCTCCCGTGCGGTTCCTCTGTTATTGCACGGCGCTGGGCTGTGCCTCTGTGTGCTGCCGGCTGCCTGTCCACAGTGACAGTCACACCCTGGCAGGTCAGGCTTAGTTCTGTCTCTTGTTCCTTTTGTCTCCTCGCTAATGTTTTTCTGTTGAGTGTGTCCCTGCTGTATGTTGCTTGTTGGAGCCTTGGGAGCATTTGGTGTTGTGTCAGCCTTTGAGTTTATTTCTATAAGTGGGTAAGACTAGGTCTCCGTGGGTGTTAAGGAGGACACATCTAATTTATAATTCATTTTTTTTTGGCTTGTGAGAGTGTGATTTTATAATAAATATATATTTGGTCTTCATCCCTCTTCCTGGCACAGAGTTCCTAAACCCTTGCAATGTCCTAAGTGACAAAGGTGTCTCGTTCTGTGAATGAGGCGACTTTTAGGAAGCTCCTCCGGCTGGGACTGGTTGCCAGGGTAACCAACCATGTGACTGGAGGGGGTGGAACTTACCACCCCTGGGAAGTGTAAGGGGTTGGACATAGAATCAGTCACCAATGCCCAGTGCTTCAATCATTTCTGCCTGTGGATGGAAACCTCCACCGATATCCAATAGGACCCTTCTGAGAGTGTCCAGGTTTGTGACACGTGGAGACGCGGGAAGAGTGGCCTGTCTGGAGAGGGAACGGAAGGCCTGCGTCCCTCCCCTCACCCCTTGTCCAGTGTGCCTCTTTATCTGGCTGGTCATCTATGTCCTTTATAATAGACTGGTCAAAGTAAGTACATGTTTCTCTGAGTTCTGTGAGCCACTCTAGCAAATTATAGTTGAAGCTGAGCAGGGGGCCATAGGACCCTCCAATTTATAGCTAGTCGCTCAGAAGCACAGGTGACAACCTGGACGTGTGATGGCATCTGAAGAGTAGGAGGCAGGCAGAAGTCCAGTAGCACTGAGCCCTTAGCCCATGTGATTCATGATCTCCCTCCAGGTAGGCGGCATCGGAATCGAGCTAATTGTTTGGCGATGCTGGAAAAGCATCAGACTACCCCATCCATTGTGTTAAAAGGAAGTTGGGGGCATTTAAATAAAATATCAAATTTTGTGTATCTCTTCTCTGAACCAATAATCTACTTTCTGTTTCTACAGATTTGCACATTCTGGACATATCACAAACATTATCAAACAATCTATAGTCTTCTCCATTTGGCTTCTTTCAATGGACAGAACATTTTCAAGACTCATTCATGTTATAGCACATATCAGCACTTTACTCCTCTTGTGGCTGAGTGAGCATTCCCTTGTAAAAACATTCCACATTTTGTTTAGTCATTCGTTAATTGATGGACATCAGAGACGTTTCCGCTTTTTGGCTATTATGAATAATACTCTGAACAAAATTTTGTGTAAGCTAATGTTTCTAATTCTCTCAGGTACGATCATAGGAGTGGAGTTTCTGGGCCCCTCTCTTCCTATCCCCACAGTGTTAAGTAGAGAGTCTACGACATAAGAGGTATCAATAAATAATGGTTCAATTGAATCAAAGTAGATAGCTGTCAAGGGCTATGGCCAGGGGTCAGGGGAGGTTATCGAGAGGGTTTGGGTTTGCATTTGGGTTAAAGTTTGGTTCATGTATAGAGTTAGGGTTTAAGGTCAGGGTCAGGGTTCAGGTCAGGGATTAGGATTTAGGGTTAGGGCAAGGTCAGAGTTAGGGTTTTAGGGTGAGGGTTAGGGTATTAGGGTGTGGACAAGGGTCAAGGTCAGAGGGTGGGGTGAGGATTTAGGAGTCAGGGTTTACAGTTCTAACCTAGGGTTGTTAGGGTGTAGGGTTAAGGTTAAAGTTAGGGGTTTAGGGCAGGAGTTAGGGAGTTAGAGGGTTGGGTTAAAGTTAGGGTTTGGTGTAAGCCTCACTGGCCAACTTCCCCTCTGTCTTCCTTCTCTCTGAGACCTTCAATATGGACAGGATGTGCCCAGGGTCACACAGGAGTCAGAGGTTGAGTGGACCATTGGTTGTCTGCACCCCAGTCCTGGATTCTGGTAGTAGAATGTAGTGTCCACTCTGGTCAGTGTTTCAAATACAAGTCAGCCTCAGTATCGGGTCGTGGAGGGCCCCAGAGGTCAGTAGGCTCTTCTCTCTCCCTCTGACCTGGGCCGCCCCAAGTTCCGGCATAGCCCTGAGGCCCGAGGGCACCCAGCAGACATGTGTGGGTTAGGACAAAATTGGGTGCAACGGCCAGCCAGCCCCCAGGAGCAGCCCTTCCGGGACGAGCTGGTCCTTCCTCCCATCCCAGCCGGCCGCCGTGGGCAGTCGTGTCTCAGACAGGAGAGCCCTTGGCCTCCGACCACGCAGGCAGACCTCTGGGTCCTGCCGCTCAGGCCACCCGGGCCCTGTGACGCCGCCCTGGCCAGTTCTGGAGTTGACCGGGCTGCCGGGCGTTTGAGCAGCCACTGGGCAGCCGGAACAGCTCCTTGGGATGTTTTAGTCCCCGACATCCACGTGGGTGAGACAAGCGCCGCCCCCTCACAGCCTCAGCCTCCGAGAGGGGTGGGAACCGGGGCGGACGCGGAGAGCGGCCCTGGCCACAGCAGCCGTTGGGCAGAGCGTGGCCCCGCAGCCCTGGGCCTTCCGGCTGTGACAATCCTCAGCGGTTCCGACTCGTTAGAATCAGATGCGGAGCGACAGCCTCTCCCTCCAGGGGGTTCACACGGAGGCCGCACGGACTCGGACAGCCACACGTGTCCGCGGTCCAGCCCCGGCCTCCGGGCAGTCCTGGCCGCAGATCCCGTAGGCGGACCGGTCCCCGGGCCCCCGCTGCTCCGCTGAGCGAGAAGCTCCCGCCGCCCGGCCATGTCCACTCGCTGCGGTGGAGAAGAGACGGGACAGGAGCCCAGGAGCCCCTTTGTTCCTGGGGGCGGCCAGTCGCATGGCCGGGGCAGGCGTGACCCCCAGGCTGACCCTCCCAGGGACACGAGTGAGGCCGCTGTGTCTCCTGAGGGCGCACGGGCTCCTGGGCCCGTCCCGGAGCTGCGAGGACCCGGAGCCCAGGGCGGGAGCCCCGAGTCCCCCCAGCAGCAGGGACGCGGCTTCTCCACCCACGGGAGGACAGCGAGCACCGGACGGGCCGCCGCCCTGACCCCTGAGCCCGGGGCCACTTCCCTTCGCGGGCGCGGACCCCGCAGCTGTGCCGGGGGCCGTGAGTGACGTGCCGTCTGCTGCTCCCCCACCCCAGCGTCTGTTCTCACGCCCCAGGCCAGGGCCCCAGCCCTTCCTTTGGGGACTCATCCCCCCCAGTTTCACTCAGACAGCTCCGCAGGGCCGGCCCCACGTCCCGCCACCCCCACGGGCCAGCTCCTGGTTGCTCCGATGGGTTCAAGGACGAGAATGTGACGGGAGCCAGGCTGAAGGCATTAAAACCATGACTTTTCTCGGGACTCGGGGGAGGCGAAACCATCCTCCGTATAATGGACGGTGAGTGGGTGTCCTCCTGGGGTGTCCGCCTGGGATATCACAGCATACAGTGAGAGGGACCATGCCTGTGAAGGGGGCCGCCCAAAGGCACTTAGCAGGGGAGAGGGGTGGAGAGGGACCAGGTCCCACGGGGACAGTGTGAGAGCCTGGACCTGCCAGGTCCAAATCCACTCTTAAACCTGCCTCTCATGAATATTAATTTATTTCTACCATTTAGAAATTGTTAATTTATTTTACTTCAGTAAGTGTGTCCAGGTCCTTGCAATGAAAAGTGTTTTTGCTGACACAGCAGAATCAATAACTCTTGAGGCCCGCCACCCCAGCATGGTGTCCTCACTGGGCGGGCCTGTCTGGGGGACATGAGGACACCGGGGCAGGACAGATCTCAGGGGAGCTGCCCAACAACTCTGTCTCTGCTTCTTCCCAGCCCTCGCTGAGGGAAACCCCAGAGCAACGGAGGGGAGCCAGCAGGGGGAGAGGTCCCTGGACAGCTTGTTGGCCTGTTTCTATTTTCCTTATTTTAGAGTCTATTTCATTAATGTGTATTTTTACTAGGAAATCACTCATTTCCTCTGTGTTTCCATTTCGATGCATAAGTTTTCTTTTATTTGACTTTTAATTTCTCCTCTCTTTCTAGTTTTTACATAATCGTTATAATCAATGAACACATATTGATTTATTATTGCTTACTAAAGTCTCTATTTTGTTAAGGTGCCTGCATTCGGGCTCAGTGTTAGTGCTGGTGCCTCTATCTCTTAAAGCTCCCACCAGACATCCAACCAGAGAGGTGAGTGCTGACAGTTGGGGTACCCGGCCACTGAATTGGGGTGTTATGATAGGAAATGAAACCAGGAGAGAAATGGGCCAGACGAAGATTCTCTGCACTGTGCCGATGATAGACTTTGTTCTCCAGGCTGCGGGAACCCGGGGGCCGTTCAGTGGACAGGAAGTGACAGGATTAGACCCTTAATTTAGAAAGACTATGCTGGTCCGGTGTGGGGTTGGACTGGACGAGAGAGGGACAGGAAGCAGAGAGACCAGTGAGAAGACTGGTGAGAGGTGGCGCTGGCCTGAGCTGAGGCAGGGACCGTGAGTGTGAAGACCAGAAAGGGGCTGTGGTTAGTGCCGTCCTTAGGACAAAGGTGGCACAGATGCCAGTTAGCACTTAGGGGAACTATGGCTATTTGGACACCGGTAGGAGAGCTCATTCTGCTAAAAGGACACTACCTGGTAATTTCTTGAGTTATGTGGCCCATAGAAGGTGGGGAAAAAACTAAAGAGAAGAAGCAGGGGGAGTGAGTGCTCTCACGTGTTGGGCAGGAACTAACGTCACTACCTCACTGAGCCCTCACAGCCCCCTGCCAAGGAGCCGTTATCTCCATCTGCCAGATGAGGAGACTGAGTGTCCATCTCTCTGCCTGAAGTCACTCAGCTAGTAGATAGTGAAGCCAGAAGTCAGCTCGGTGCCTGTCTGGGTCTCAGGCACTCCCCCACAAGGAAACTGCCACCCTCGACTGCATTCTGAGCAGCCAGGAAGCTCTTGTCAGTTGAGACCTCAGAGGAAGGGAACGTGGTCAAGAGCAGGCCAGTGCTCTGGCTTCAACAAGAACAGACTTAAAAGGCCAGAGGCTGGCAGGGAGTAGAAGTGGGGAAGTCGTCGTTATAAGAATCTAGCGCTGGTTGTACTCCTGTGATGGGCTGGGCCACCTTCTTCCTCCCCACCCGTCCCTATCCTCAGCTGCGTGTCCAAGTCCCACAACAAAAACCAGCTTGAGCGAGTATATGGCAAGCTGGACCATTAGGTTATGTGCAGATTTTCTTCAAATAGAATGACCAAGATTCGACTCAAAGCTGCAAAGACTATTTGGATTACTCTGTCCGGGATCCTGTGTGAGTGTGGTGTCTTGGATGCAGAATTGTGTTAGAATCAATCTTCAGTTTAAATACCGGTAAAATGGATATAATAATTTTCCTTCCTCATCTGACAAACAGAAGCAGTAGGTGAGAAGAGATATGTAAAGGACAGGAGTTATTTCGAAGTGAGCTAGGTACCAAGGGTCTGGACTCTTATTTTAATGGTGGGCAGAGCCCTTAAGGCAGGGGAACGCTCTCCTCTACTGCCATCTCGTGTGCAGTTTGGGAATAGTACCCGAGTTTAGGTCATGAAACATGATTCGTTATCCTCTGCTGCCATCTCGTGTGCATTTAGGGGATAACACCTGAATATAAGTCATCAAGGGTAGGTCATTATGACTATTCATTCTCTGCTGCCATCTGGTGGGCAATTTGGGAATAACATGACAGGGCTGCTCATAAAGTTATTTCTGCTCCTTTTTCATGTTCATTTTGAAAGCAACACCCAGGGCATGCCATTATGAAGAGTTTTTCTCTGCTGCCATCTCTTGGGTATTTTGAAAATAACACCCAAGCGTATGTCATCATTAAAATTTATTTCCTGCTGCCATCTGGTGGACATTTTCATACACCACAGCGTATGAAATAAAAAAAGTTACTCTTTCCTTCCATCTGGTGGACCTTTCAGGAATAAAATCTGGTGTAGGTCACTGTAAATATTCATTATCTGCCTTCATCTATTGTACATCTTGAGACTAACACGAGTGTAATAAAATTTATTCTTCCTGCCATCAGGTGGGCATTTCGGGAATTACAACACAGTGTGCATCACGGAAACTTGTTTCTGCTGCTATGTTTAGTATGCATTAAAAAAATAACACTCCAGGGTATGTCGTTATGAATTTTTTCTCTGCTGCTATTTTATGTGACTCCTGGGAATAATACAGAAGTGCATGTCATGAAAAGTTATACTCTGCTGCCATCTCGTGGACATTTTGAAAATAACGCCCATCGTTAGTCATCCTCGAGATTTATTTTATGGTGCCATCTGCTGGGCATTTGGAATAACCCTTCACTTTATTTCTGCTGCTATCTGGTGTGCATTTTGAAAATAACAGTCAAGTTCTTCTGAAAATTGTTTCATGTATGTCTTTGGGTAAAACACAGGAGCGCATGTCATGAAAGTTATTCCCTGCTGCCATCTCGTGGGCATTTCGAAAATAACACCCAAATGTATGTCGTAAAAATTTATATTCTGCTGCCATCTGGTGGGCATTTTGGGAATAACACCACAATGCATGTCAAAATGTTATTTCTTCAACTATCTCACATGCATTTTGAAAATAACATCTTAGGGAATATAATGAAATTCCATAATATGGAATATTATGAAAACTTTTGTCTGCTGCTATTTCATGGACATCTTGGGAAACACAAGAAAGATAGTCTTGAAAACTATTCTCTGCTGCCATCTCATGGGTACTTTGAAAATAGCACATAAGTGCATATCATAAAATTTATTAAATGCTGCCATCTGGTGGGTTTTTTTTTAAAATAACACCCAAGTGTATCATAAAAATTTACTGTCTGCTGCTACCTGGTGTGAGTTTTGGGAATAAAATCTGACCGTAGTTTCGATTCAATTTTGTTTTCTGCACCCATCTGGTATGCATCTCGACAATTATACCAGACTGAAAGAGAAAGTTATTCTCCACTGCCATCTTGTAAGCATGTTAGGAATAACACCAAGGTTTTGTCATCATGAATATTCATTCTCTGCTGCCCTTTGGTGAGCATTTTGGGAATAACATCAGAGTATAAGTAATAAAAAAATTACCCTCTACTGCCCTCTGGTTTGCTCTTAGGAAGTAACAGTATACGTTAAGTAAGCAAAAATTATTTTTTTCTTTCTTCTGTTGGGCACTTAAGGATGAAACCGCCATTGTTTGTTGTCATGAAGATTTATCCTTTGCTGCCATCCTGTGGGAATTTTGGGAATAACACCACAGGGCATAGCATGAAAACTCAGTTCTGCTGCTATCTTGTGTGCACTTAGAAAATAACACCCAAGGACATGCCGTTATGAAATTTATCTCTGCTCCCATTTTGTATGAATCCTGGGGATAACACAGGAATGTAGGTCACGATAATTTTCCTCTGCTCCTGTCTCGTGTGCATTTAAAAAATAACACCCAAGGGCATCTTGTTTTGGTATTTTTCTGTGCTCCCACTTCGTGTGAAACTTGGAAATAACACAGGAGTGCGTGTCATGAAAATTGTCCTCGTAGGCATTTTGAAAATCTCATCTAGTTGTATGTCATCAAAAAATTTATTTACTTATACCATCTAGTGGGTATTTTGGGGATAAAACCTTAGTGTAGGTCGTCATGAAAATTCATCTTCTGCCCCAATCTTGTGTATAATCTTTGGGGTAATTACACAGCAGCATAAGTTAAAAAGGTATTCTCTGCTGCCATCTGGTGGGCATTTTTCGAAGAAGATCACAGCACATGTCTTAAGGAATAACTTCAGCTGCTATCTCGTGTGCATTTTGAAAATGATACCCAAGGGCATGCCGTTGTGAAAAGTTACTGTCCCTGGCCATTTCATGTGCACCTTGGGAAAAATCAGGGAAGTGCATGATTCTGCTGCCACCTCGTGCCATTTTGAAAATTACAAACTAGTGTATGTTATCATAAAAATTAATTTTATGCTGCCATCCTGTGGGCATTTTTTGGAATAACAGTCCAGTGTATGCCATCATGATAATATATTTTCTCCTCTCATCTACTTTGCATCTTGGAATAACTTCAGAATGGAAGCAATAAAAAAAATTACTCTCTCTTGCCATCTGGTGGGCCTTTTAGGAAGAACATGCGAGCGTAGGTCACCATGAACATTCATTCTCCGCGGCAATCTGGTCAGCATTTTGGGAGTAACACCACAGTGCATGTCATGAAAATTTATTTCTGCTGATGTCTCTTGTGCATATAAAAAGTAACACTGAAGGGCATGCCGTTTAGAATTTTTTATCTTCTCCCATTTTGTGTGAATATTGAGAATAACGCAGGATTGCATTTCATGAAAATTATTCACTGCTGCCATCCCGTGGACATTTTGAAAATAACACCCTGGTGTATGTCATTAGAAAAATTTATTTTCTGCCGCCATCTGGTGGGCATTTTAGGAATAACATCGGAATGTTGAGCATCATGAAAATTCATTTTCTGCCACCATGTACTGTGCATGTTGGGAATAACATTAGAGTACAATTCAGAAAAAGGCATTTTCTTAGGCCATCCGGTGGAAATTTTGGTAATAGCATCCAAGTGTATATCCTCAGAAAAAGATATTCTGTGCTGTCATCCTGGGCATCACTTGAGTAACACACAAATGTATGTTATCATGAAACGTTATTATTAGTTATCATCCAGTGTGTATCCTAGGAATAAGTGAGGAGTATATGTCATCATGAGAAGTTATCTTTTTGCTGGCCAGTCCCTGCATGTGAGAGCGCCCACCCAGACCTCCGACACCGCCGGGAACCCGCCAAGGCCTGCGGTGCCTTAGAGCGGCTGGCGCTCGCTGGCCGCCGCCTCACTGGCGCAAACCCCGCAACCTACCCCGCTAGTATGTGCGCTGCAGGCGCCGGTGTCTCCGGCGCCCAGGAGGCCGGGCTCGAGGTCTTGGGGCGGCAAGCAACAACCTCTATCGCCATGCCAACCTGAATGCGCTGGATCTCGTCTGATCTCGGAAGCTAAGCAGGGTCGGGGCTGGTTAGTACTTGGATCGGAGAAAGCCTGTGAATACCGGCTGCAGCAGGCTTTTGCTGGAGCCCAAGGGCTGCCCTTTCGGCCGCGCGCCCCTCGCCCTCGCCCGGCCTCACCTGGTCTCCTGCAGCCAGCCCTGAGCTGTTTCCTCTGAATGCTCAGGGCCCTTCCCTTCCTGGGCTCCGTGGGGTCGAGCGCCAAGGGCCGAGGGCCCTGGATGGAGGCGCGGGGCCGCAGAGAGTTGCCTTTTGGTGTCACCGGTGTCTCCGCGTGGTTTTGGGCAGGCCGGGCTCGGCGACGGCGGGGAGTGCAGCGGAGAGGTGGGTCTGGGTCAAGGCCGGGCCAGGCCGCACCTGCCTAGGTGCCCAGGTGGCCAAGAGGATGGCGGGCCAGGACCAGGACGGGCTCCTGCCGAGTGGCCAAGACTGGGGAGGCGGGTGGCCCAGGGCCTGGGCAGTCCAGGATGCGAGAGCGCCCACCCAGACCTTCGGCACGACCGCGAACCGGCCAAGACCCGCGATGCCTTAGCGTCGCTGGCACCTGCCGGCTGCCACCTCGGAACCCCCCTCCCCTCCAACGCCCGAAACTCCCCCCAAGACATGCGCTGCAGGCTCGGGCGTCTCCCGCGCCCGGGAGGCCAGGCTCGAGCTCTTGAGGCGGCAGGCGACAGCTTCTCGCGTCTACGGCCATACCACCCTGAACGCGCCCGATCTCGTCTGATCTCGGAAGCTAAGCAGGGTCGGGCCTGGTTAGTACTTGGATGGGAGACCGCCTGGGAATACCGGGTGCTGTAGGCTTTTGCCGCCATCCAGCCAGGGTGCCCCTGGACACCCCCGGGCCCTGCTCGCTCGCTCGCTGTCTCAGTGTCTCGGGAGTCCTGGGCAAACGCCAGAGCCCAGGGCGAGCTGCACGGCCGCGCGCCCCGCGCCCTCGACCGCCCTCACCTGCGCTCCTGCAGCCAGCTATAGGCTGTTTCCTCTGAATGCCCGGGCCCTGCCTTCCTGGGCTCCGCGGGGCCGAGCCCCAAGGGCGGAGGACGAGGTCTCGGGCCAAAGCTTCGTCTAGTGGTGTCGCCGGTGGCTCCGTGTAGTTTTGGGCATGTCGGGCTTTGCCACGGC